CAGTACTTTCGGTGTGAAAGCCGGACAGACAGACAGACAGACAGAGTTACTTTCGAATTTATAATATTATACTATTAGTGATGTTTTAAATGTTAAACTGCTATCTGTTTTAGTCGATTCGTGTATTCCTAAAATTTTAGTAATGTGTTGAAAAAAATAGTTATCTACTGTAGCACGTATTTCAAAGTATTTAAACTCAAAATTATGTAAACTATAAGAAATTCCATAGTATAGATCTTCCCTTAACTACTTATTATTGACATTGGTGACGGAAATAGACGCAAACTGGGGTGGCTTGACAATCCTAAATTTAAAATAGCCATTAGAAGGACTTAGATCGTATCGAAGGTTAGACAAAAATAATAAATATGTTAGTAGTTAAAACTGATTTTATAGTTTCATGAGAGATCCTGGGTTCGAATTCCGGGCAGAACGGAGTCTAATCAACATGTCGCAGTAAATCAAATCAATTAATGGAATGGACACAGAAGTATGTTCATTCTAAGAGAAAACCTGATATCGCACATACTAGTTAAAAATATTAATTATGGCAATTTAAAAATGCATTGCAATGCGCTGTATTTACAAACCTTTAAAATTTAAATAATGCTAAGTAAGTAAAATAAGGAATTAACAGAGTTATTGATTAGTTTAGCCCCGTCTGATTTAGTAAACATATATGTAAGTCTTAGGTTTGATCACCGAGGAAAAATAAATAAGTTTTTGTTGGCGTTGGCATCTTATTTTTATTTAAAAAGTATGAAGTCTTGGGTTCGATGTTTCGCTAAAATATAGCAAATGATTTGTTAAAGAATTCCTCACGTTTCTTCAATTACAAGGTGCTTTGGGGTCGATTCACGACAAAATTCGAAATGTAGGTGAACTAATAATTATCGTCGACATTCAAACGGATACTTTTTTGTACCTCACTCGACAGATGTGACACAGGATGCAGAAAATTGCTCAATACGAGACGTGTAACGTTATATTTGGGAAAGTATCGGGTTTTACTTACGTTGACATGCCATTTATTTACAAATGGTAACAGGTTCGATTTCGGTGAATAATTTTTCTAACAAAAAGTGTTTTTTATTACATAGTCAAATGTGAACTCAAATCGTCATAGCTAAATGGTTAAACGTGTTGTCGAGCATTATCTCAAGCCCGAGAGGTCCTGGGCAAATAGTTTACCTAAATAAGACATTGCTCAGTTATACACCTATGTTACAAAAAACCGTACCTACATATTCATTTAAAGATTTTTTAACAATTTAAAACACATACAAGACGTAGTCGCAGAGACCAAAATACATCAAAAATAAATAACTAAAGCACTTCGCGTTTTAAACCGTTAAAAAGTCACAAACTAAAATTAAAAATTTATCGCACAATATTATACGTTTATTGTACGATAAATTAAGATACGATAGAAATTACAAGTTACGATAGGTTATTGTTTATAGATGTTTGTATCTACTAAATTACATTATTAGTTTGTAGGACAATCATTATTATGTAGGTTTTACTTATAAGGCAGGCTATTGTGCCTTACCTGTCCGAAATATTTATTCACAAAAGGCAAACACAGGACTTTGTAGCGGGTTTTTACGACTTTGGACTGACAGTAAATACGGATGTTAAAAGATCTTTACAATGTCTTGAGTTTGGAAAATCAACTCGGAAAACAACCCTTTTCCCACCCAGAGTTTTCACGCCGCCTAGTGTCGAGTAGCGAGAGGCACATGAGGTGATCTCTATCACCATCCCTCTCCACTCAACCCCACACACCTACACATGACTGAGATAAACATATTCCTGGTCACATCTCCCGTTTTCCACGGGGAAAACTCACTACCCTATACGTCTCTGTTTTCGCCCTATTAATGTCTAGTTTGGATAGAGACGGCGATAGTTTCACTCGCAGTGGACATTGGATGACCAAGACTAATTTATTTTTGAAGGAGCGATTGGATAAGAATTTGGAATATTCGATCTTTACTGTTAGCTACGAAGCATTTTTACGAATGAAAATACGGCTAAGAGGTTTATATAGGTATGTCATGTAAATCTGTTTTTTTTCAGCATTATTATATTTTTACATCTAAATTTCCAAAAAGCGAAATAGGTGGACAGCGGTTCAATTGTTATATAGCTTGAAAATTATCTACCAAGAACACCTTCCATCAAACCCTATGCGTGTGTGCTTCTTCTGTGAGATAAAAATGTCGAATATTAATTATTAAAATTCCTTTGAACGGTTTAAAACGTATATATTTTTTAAATTGTTTTAAATACAAGCTGTCGTTTTGAATGCTTTGCAGGCGGCGTCGTCGCGAGGAATAGCTTTGATCTTGTATTTAAATACAAGGAAAGTATATCAAAAAAAAAGATGGAATAGTAAGGACGCCGCGTCCAGTATAGACAATAAAAACAAACCTGGAGACATATAGTATAGCTGAAGAGCGGAGGAAAAATATCGGTTAAAATTTATTTATCTACAATAATAAATATAAAAACTTTTTTTTAGTTCAAGGAGTTGTTTTTCCACCATAAAGATGCATTAAAAGGAAGCTGGCCGTAAACAAAATGACAATTGCGAAAAGAATCAAAGTCGAACGGAAGTGAACTTTAAAATTTCAATAATCGAACACGCAAAGTTGGCGAAGTCAGTTCAGAAACAATTATGAAAAAGTTGAACGCCGTTCGCGCGCCAGTTAACTCGGCTGACACTCATAAAACTTATTAAAGTGAAGGACCGACCGAGATAAGTTTGCGGCGTCTTAAGTAAAATAACGTGGAAAAAATGCAGAAAGTTCGCAAAAGAGCGAGAGTGAACGATGTCGAGTTTGTGAACGAGCTGTCTACGTGTTGCCTTCGGTTGCGTTCAGACATTTATCCTCTTTCATTATTTATGTGATGCGTAATGAATAATTTAAGAAAACACTTTTTAAACTTGCCTATATACTTGTGTACACAAATACTGTCTCTAGTTTACGCGAGTAGTACACATTTAAATAAAACACTATACAGGTTAACGCGATGCGCTCGGGCCGTAGTTAAAATAATTTTCAACTAATATATATCGCGTTTTAACCCGTTAAAGTGTTTTATTTTAATTAATAGACAACTTTCCTTTTTACAAGTGTTACTAAGATAATATTACCATTTTGTTTGCTTGAAAGAGTCTTAGGAATAGAAAAAAAAGTAGTTATTTATAGAAAATATGTACAGCATTACTGTATGTAAATAAAACATTTTAACGGCTTAAAACGTGAAATATATTACCTTACTTATTTTAACTTTTAGTCGTTTCAGATGATTTCCAGAACCACGACTATATAAGCAAGGTTAAAAGCTTTTTATTTAAATTTGTACTTCTCGCGTATACTACAGACAATACTTAATAATTATATTCTACAAAAAATAAGGAATTAAATCTCAGTGTAATAAAATATCTCAACGTTACGTAGCACCGTAGCTGAGCGCTACGAAAAAAACTACGCTAAGTTTGTTTACTATTGTATAACTATGGCGAACTTACATCAATATGCAAATTGCGATGTTTATATTTATTTGTATATGAAAGCTATTTGTAAATCATACATAGATATTATTTTTCTTAAGTAGCTCAAGTGTTTAAAATATATTTTAGAGTTATTTCTGATCTTATTAAGGAGATAGTAATTAAAGTATATCCATTCTTAACTACACAATATAAGCTGTATTTTTTAAACTCAATAAAAATAATCGTTTCCCGCCACGCCGGTTTTGTTTGGGAACTTTTATTTCCGGCATTTTCCCTTAACGAGCGTAGTGACCGTCCGACAAAAGTCCATTCAATTAAAAATTCCATCTCCTAATCGAGTCATGAAATATGCACGCAAATATTATCCCTTTCTTTTGTACGTTGCATCTTCGCCCCACCCGCACGCACACCGACGCACGGCACTTGTGAAATCAGTCCGTCTCCCTCCCACCCACGCATTTCGGAGGCTCTGCGTGGACCGCGGTCTCCCTCGGCCAGCCGACGTAGAGGCGACCGCGAGTAACCCCTGGCTACTTCGGAAGCTCGTGTCGCGCGAATCTTTTAATTTTAATTACGCGAACGCAAATGCCAAAAAAATGCATCTCAGTATGATTTCAAACTATTTTTTTAATATAGGTTAGGTCAGTTTTTTAAACGTAATTGAAACTAGTAAACACAAAAACAGGAGTGTGTTTTACTTGACAATTCTTAATGTCCAGTTTAATATTTTCATATTATGAAAAGTATTATTAATTTTTCGTTATACCGAAATGCTTTGTTAAATTAAACTGGGTCTATTAAAATACTAGTCCAGGTAGTATGTACGCTGAAAAGTTACAACTACGTCTAATCGCGAAAAGTTATAGGCGTGACGTGTATGGCGCGCGCCGCGTTCGGCCAGCGGAGTGAGACGGAGTGAGACGGCGCGAGTTGGACACGAGGCCACAGCCCTCGCGCGAAGGGACATAGGACAGACGTGTTCGGACATCGGGCTGGAACGGGCGGCTGTCCGCGCACCTGCTAGCACCGCGCGCGATATACATCGCGTATCGCAAACTCCACAGACTATCTCCGTTCTCTCGTTACGAACGTATTCCTACTCAATTCTAATATTCCAAATCGTGAAGAAACAGTGAATTTTTGTGAATCGGAAGTGCCCAATCAGAAAATGAAGATTAGATAGACAAGTGATAAGCTACATGCATCTCCGAATAAATGTAACACGTGAGATTCGCGGTATGAAAAGAAAAAAATATATGTAACATGCTACGATGATCTCGGTTATGTCTCGCCGGACTTCAGATAATTTTGTGCCGCTGGGACATATATCAGAGGGGTTTTGAGAACGATAAGCTGGACCGTCGGCACCAGTGAAGTGCGCTAACAAACTGTCGCTTGATAGCGAGATATTAAGATAAAGATTTTATAGGATAAAGAAGTTGTTGACGATCTAAAAATAGGTGACCAAATCAAGATGAGAATTAAGATGCCAGCTGTACGCATCGCGCAAGGTAAGTTTTATCATTACTTATTTGCAAAAAGTAAAACCGTATTTTACTAAATAAAAAAGTATTTAACTTTTTTATTTTATTACAAATCGAAATTTTTTAAAACACAACTGCCATGTTGAAAATTTTGATTCTAAATTTAAAATCACAAACTGCAAACAAATAAATTCACCTACACGAATTTAAAAAACGAAAACAAAACCATAGACAATTTATGTAGAGCCTGCAAAATGAAAATAGAGAAGCTGTGTTGAGAATGAGCTAGTTAATAGCGTAGCCTGCATGTAAATATTGACTCTGTGGTCATCTGCTGACCGAATAGGGTGAAAAGATTGAGATTTCCATATTTTATAACTACGTATAAAAAAAGTTACTTTAAAAATTATAACGTAAATAAGACAGTTCAAAAAATTATGTTTAATCGAAATAAACAAATAATCAGAATTCATTATAAATTACAAATTAAATAACCTTATAAGATTTTAAAGTAGCATCTATTGTTTAAAGCTTACTTTTATTTGTATTGCGTAAATTACGACATATCGTGGGTTCGAATCTTGGGGAAGTAAAAAAAGATTCACAGGGGATTCTTTCTGTACTGGCTATAAACTTTGTTAGATTAAAATATTTTTATCTATTTTTAAAAGATACCTATTTTATTTACTTAACAATAAATATGGGGAAAATGGTATGCCACTTTTTTCTCTTACCAATATTATAATATAAACAAAGGTTTTTTTTACATTGAATAATATCTATATTTTTTCATTTGAAATAGATCTTTATTACCTACTAGACAATTATTTAAAAAAAACATTTAAACGCTCACGTCAATGTTACTTAAGTTATTAAAAATTTAGACATAAAATTGATATTTTAGCGGTAATAAACATAAGCAAATTTCCCTTACTACGTCAATAGTTTTATGTAAAAAATTAAATTATATTTTAGCGTCACGCTCGCAAAATAAAATGATATTTTAATATCCTTATTAATACCACTTCCATAGCCTTACATTTACTTAAATTAACTATTACTTATTTCTAAAGTAAATAATAAGTTTCCACTTAAACATAGTTCAGAAATTTATTTTTATTACACGACTTTCCAAAAAACAACAAAACAGTATTTATATGTAATACTTAATATGTTATTTAAGTCATTAAAATTAACATGTAAACTAATATGAGAAATGTATCTTATCAAATTGTTTTACAAACTTTATTTGGTACACCCAAAAGGCCTTGTATCTAAGCTGTTAAATTTGTTTCCTCTGTGTTGTCCATCTTATGATAAAAAGCTACTAAAAATAATTAACACAATTCTTACATTTTCCCACTGGCCACTGTGCCAGTTTATAATTCTCATGCTTTACTTTTTAATGACCATTAGATATTACGTACAGTACTAAAATATGATTTTTTAAAGAGTTGTGAAAAGACGTAATTTGACTGACATATTGTAAATTATAAAAACTGAGATAAAACATACAGAGATAAAACTTAGAGATCTGTAAAACAAGAATTTCATTATATTATTTAATACGCTTGTTCTAGTGAAGACTACGTTATTAACTTATTATTTAAAATAACACTTCAACGATTTAAAACGGGATATATATTCTTCCGTGGTCTCCCTGTGACCACGCGACAAATAATTTTCAAGTTAATAACATAATAAGCATAAACAACAGACAGTATCTAATTATTTAATTCATATTTATTATATTTATAAATTTATGGCATACTACACATAAATTCTATAATTTTGTGTATCATTGTCATAGATAAAGATATTTCTCTTAGAATAAACTCTATAGTCCATTCATAAACTTTAAATTACGGTAAAGCGCACCGCAATGAGAATCCAACTTGCGATCATCTGGTCCAGCGGCGCGGTACATGCGCAAGCGCATGAGTTCTTAAATCGTTATCGCACACATGGGCAATTAGTCCGAGTTGACCGAGGCGACAGGCGGTGCCGATTGGTCGGTGGCAGCGTGACGTCATCAACGTCTGTGGCCTTCGCGCCTGATTGGTCGACACGCGTCATTTCGTCGAACACGTTTGTTCTTATTTTAAGAGGTTCTGAGGTACGCTTTTGTGTACCGAGTCCCCCTAATACGGAATTGTTTTGACGGCTTGTCGCGGGGTATTACTTGCCGCGGCTCATGCTAAAATAATTAAAGTATAAAAAATTACATTCCTTACTAATAACTTCTAACCCGAAAAACTATAAAAATTGATAGATTTCTATTTCTCCCCAATTCCTCAAAGTACTATTTATTCTAAAGTACTTACTATTCGTAAAAAGTGTTTTATTACGATTATTTAAGTAATGTATCATATGCCTTACTTGTTAATTAAGCTAAAAAAAAGTCATCTCACACGGGGCATGGGGCAAATACGTTTTTTTTTGTCCGTTTCATTGACCAATTGTTATAAGTATTAGACCAAAACTACATACCATATTTTCCCGGGATTCAAACAGAACTGGGCAGAACAGAGGAGTCAATACAGATTTGTAATTTAATAAACCGTGATAATCTATATAAAAGAATACATGCTCAAAAATACATTCTAAATTAAAAACCCGTAACAATTATCGAGCCCAAAGTAGTCGTAAGTAGTAAATGCCGAAAGTTAAAAACATACAACACGTACGAAACAAGAAGTTAAGGGTATCCCGATTTTAAAACCCTCTTCAAAAGTACGAATTAGGGAATCGTAAAATTACTTTATCACCCGCGAAGCTAGACGGCCGCGGCCGAGGGTTCAGCTCGGGAAGTTTTAAAAATGTTTCGCTTCATGAAATATTTACCTACTTGACTATTTGTTTTCACTCTTCCCTAATTGACGCGGGCCTTTCAACTCATTGTTTTGAATTATTTTCATGTTACAATCGCTCCGAACCGAAGTTAGAACTTTTGTTTTTTGTTACTCGAAATTCGCGAATAATGGGACTCGCTTGTCAATTCGGACGTGCATCTCGTTCGGCTTGGCGATTCAATATGTCTTCATTAAGAGAATATCGGAACATCGTATCCACGAGCGGAACTTTCAATCTTGATCCTTGTCCAGGAATTATTGCCTCAAGATCGTTCGCAATCCGTCTAGTTTTGTCTTTGTTGCGAGTGCGTCTTATAATATCTTTATAGTGCGTCTTAGCATTTCGAGTTGTAGTAAAAACTTGAGCTAAGTTGCTTTAGTTGCATGTGTTCTCTTCGTAAGGTAGTTCTATTTCCAGTAGCTAATCTGGTAATCCACGTCCAATTCTCAAACATACGAGTACTTGTGTCTAGCGTGGTAAAGAATACTGTCTTTGTTTTATCACCTACGTCGGAAAGAGATAGCCAATTATAAAATTTTGAGATCTTTCTAGTACTTATTGCGATAATTTATTTTGTTTAGAGTCTCGTAATGATTGGAGAATTTCTTCGAATTTGATTTATAACAGACGTCAACTGTAATTGGATTGTCCCTGAAAGTAGGTAATGTCTGACACGCCTAACATAAATATTCAAGAATTTCTCTTCGATATAGCGTGATATTTATAATTAGACTTTTCTAGAAGATAAAGCTATATTTTCATGTTTTTATTATAAAACTGAAACTGCTGAAATGTCGTCTAAATTGCAAACGTTACTTTTGAAAACTTTTTTTTTCACATGTTATTGCACATGAAGGCATTATACAATTAAAAAATCGAAAATAAATTGAAAAAAATTTCGACTCGGGCTCGACTTGAACGGGCATCGTCAGCGTTCCGTGCTGTTGCTCTACCAATTGAGCTACCGAGTCCTACACCTTATCGTCGAATTTTTTCAACTTATTGATACATGCACCTCTCGCGCAATGTAATTTCAACCTTAATACGCAAGTGTTATTAATTACTTGTTTACAAATTAGTAATGTAATAACCATCACTAAAGATTCTTTTGTTTTTAATACAACAATTCTAGGCCTGTCCTTTTAGTACGATCAACCAACGAACAGGACAAACAAACATAACAAGTGTCTTTCAAATCCAGTTCCCTGAAAGCGATATTTAAATTGTGGGAATATAGTTAATTTAGTATTTAGAATAATGAGAACGGATTGTCGGCCACCCGACTGACTGGCCGTTTTTTAGATGCCCGCTTTCTGCCTTTTTTGATTCCCAAGATAAAGACGTATGGATTTACATATGTTATATCGCGGAGGTCCAGACTGCATTAAATTGGATTTATTAGTCCATTTAAACAATACACTACGCCGGAGGCTCACGACTGATGTCTCAACTTGTGTTAATCCTTTCGAGAGGGGAATATTTTCGTCAACAATACAAATCTTATTACAAACAACGAGAACAGTGGTGCCAAACATTTTTGTTGAAAGGTGTCCCTTATCGGGTACATCTGATTACAATAACGATAAAATTCTAAATACTTGAAGATTTCGTTTATTGAAATTTGATAAGCCTTTGAAAGGCTTCGAGAGGTTTGTAAAGTTCTATTCAAGAGGCGATTCAATTGGTGCGCATTGTGAAGATCTCTTTGACCAATGTCCGCCCATTAGGCTAGATAAATGACGAGGACAAAGGTATAAAAATGATGATAACAGGAATTAATTTATTGGTATCGTCGGGTGTGGGTGGACAGCTCTTGAAGAGTCCATCTTTGTCAGGCTCTGATACTAATTTGTAAGTGTCGAAGCGACAGTGCCTATTTAAACTTTACGTTACAATTCCACTGCGGACATATTTCTTCAATTGTTCCAGAGGTGATTTCTCAGCATAAACAAGAACGGTCACTGACCTTAATATTAAGAGAACATTATAATGGCATTTACGTTTCCTGAAATAAAATTATCAATTTAATAAGTTTACGAATATTGTGTAATATTTTTGTATGTCTTAGTTAATAATTCGAAAAACATATGAAACGTTAAGCCGTCGTTAACATAAATTGTAAATAAGTTAACATACATTTCGCGTTTTAACCCGTTAAAAGTGTTTCATTTAAACTCGCATAAGCTACACACAATAATCAATAATTCGTATCAAACAAATACATAACAATATAACATAATATAATCCAAGACTAACGTACGTAATTTCTCGAATTAAAGTAATCTCTTTGAGCCTATACAGTTCCATACAAAGACGGTAATAACACAGATTTTATCAACAAACAGGTCGACAAAGTGCACCTGAATCGCCCATTTTCCCATGGTCAACTTCCATGTTTATGAAAAAAAATGTAACACCAGCTCTCACAAACAATTGGTCAAAGGGATTTTTTGCACCCACATTGTCGTCTATAATACACAATGGGGTTTGAGAAGCCGGCCGTAGGCAAAATAAACTTTTGTTGATCATTATGGATACCCTTTCGTCAATTTGGAAATAGAATGGGCTATGAGTGACAATTCCGGGATATCTTCCACCTGTGGATAAAGTCACTATAATTGCGGTATTTAAAATATTTATTAAGTTATAAAATATATTAATATTTATTTTTAATGTCAGATTATTTAAACTACAGCATATTGTAAAATAAAAAAATACTTTATTCTCTTTAAAATTTAAAAAACGCATCCCTGTCATTAATGAAAATATTGTGTTTTGATAATCTAGAATTATTAAGGTATTTAATACCTACATTCAGATTTTTGTCAGGTGAAAGTCTAAAGAATTCTACCTCTGATGCTTGAACATTCGTAACCTACCCCTTTTCCTTTTATAAAAATACAAAACTTAAGTTAAAACACAATACAAAACTTATGTCTCCCCGTGACCACGGTGCCGCAAAGCATCCGAAACGTCGGGCCGTAGTTAAAAATAATCTACAAACAAGTTTAACTAAAATATATCGCGTTTTAAGCCGTTAAAGTGTTTTATTTAAATGTGCACTACTCACGTAAACTACAGACAGTATAAAACTTATGTTATTAATTATTGTTAGATTCTTTTACAATGATAAATAGAAAATCAGCATATTAGTGTACACGGCGTGGCGTCGACTACAAGACCTACGTACTGTTTTTTTTTCAGACAGAGACTATGTATATATTTTCTAACAGTTCAAACGATTTTTTATGGTATCAGAGCCGCATGCGCATAATCAGAAATGCTCAACTTCACAAAATTCTGATTGACGCGTCGATTGTGTATACCTGAACCTTTATACCATTTTTCATATATCCCATGACCATTGTCCACGTGCTTTTGATTCGGCTATTTTTTTCCTCCGATGGAACTACACGTCAAGTCGGACGCGCTCTTAATAGAGCACGGAGGCTGTATTGAATTACAACCAGTTCTTAGATTTTTTTGCGATCATTCCTAGTTGGGGAATGTTTGACATAAAAAAAAAACAAGAACATCAAAAAGAAATCATAAAAAAGGGAGGAATCAACTTTTTTTTATGATACGCAAAGTTCGAATTCAATATTATCAAATTAATTAAATGCAATTAATATTGAAATCTTTCTAGTGAAAATTTTAATAGTGTTTGTAATTCTTCCGTGAAGTTCTCGATGCATCATGTCTTCTTGATATTTGAACCTGGGACTCCATGTTCAATGCACAAAAGCCTCTCAATTCAGTCACAACACATAAATAATATGAAAAGTAAAATTAACAAAATTGTATCGTCTGTATTTTACACGAACTTTAACCCTTTAAAAAGAGTAATGTATGTAACTTAAATATTACGCGTTTTAAACCGTGAAAAGTACTGTAGTAAAAGTAGAACAAAGCACACAAACAGCGTAGTAGGGCCTTTTATAAAATCTTTTTAATTAGCTCATTTAATATAAACTTACTATGCTTCGAATTGTTTCTATGACTAAGTGGGTGTTAAAAATCATAAGCAGTCAACCAAGTGAAAGATTGTCTCTGGTTTATGATTTACGTCGTGTCGTTTTGTGTGTTTGTGTATTGTTAGCGTGTAGTGTGGGCGTCCGTTAGATTTATAACAGCGCGCCCTATCCTTTTACTAAATACGATATTTAGTGGGATTCAATAAGCTTTACGAGTAACGCTGAGTGGACAGGCGTGGTATCAACAATTTATTCGCGAACTGTTATCTGCTATAGGGAATATAACTATTGAATTTATTGATTTGTATTTTTTAATAATTCTAGGACACCATAC